TGACCAGTAATGATAGAGTTCCAAGATGGGAACCTGGGATCATTGCAACCAAGGCCTTCTTTTGCCTCAGAAGTATCATCAACCTCCAAACATCGAGGTACGGCATCCAAACCACCCGATGGTCCCTCCCCATGAGTGCCTGGAAACCACACTGTCGCAGCAAGTTTGTGTTTTAGGAACACAAAGCTGTAATTCTGGATGGCATCCTTGACCAAAGACTCCAGGCAAGTAAATGGCAGATATACCTACAGTGTGCTGTATAAGTAGACAGTTATAAATCTCTAATTAGTAAAATGAGGCTCAAGTTCTCTGGGATGGACACAAATGTGCAAACATATACTCAGAAATCTTTGTGACAGAAAGGACCTACATGTCCAAAACCTGTAGTATTCAACCTATATAAACTAAAATATTGGTTTGAAATGATTTAACATTTAATTTCTTGCCTTCTTATAATTGTAAATACTTTTGGACTCATGTTTTTTTAAGGTTCTTAAAAAAAGACAAAATCAATATCCTTCTTCTTCAATAAATTTCTCTTTAGCTACCATAAGTATTTTTAATGTTTTCAGTGTTTTTAAACCCGTGGTGGGCAAGGTGCCTACCTGACACCCACTGGACAGATCACACAGTGTACCAAGTCTCTGAGCATAATTTAGGGGAGACGAGGTGGCAGCCAGTGTCTCCCAGTTATGGAGGCTCTCAGTGCTCAAAGCTGCCACACAGTGTGGCCGTCAATGGCCTCAAAAGCTGGGCCCCCGCTGCCGCCTACACTGGGAGCGGCTGACTTCACGGGTGCCCTTTGTTTTCCTTAGGGGCTCTTCATCAAACCAAATGCTCTAATAAATATGGTTATTAAGTTTCATTTTTTTCTAGAGATCATTTTTTTTTCTTACCCATATTTTATATCCTTATGCACCTTTAAAAAGCCCAGCAGACCTTCGGTTAAATAAACAAATCATTAGGCTAAAAAATTATGTCAAAATGGGTGCAATTAATAGGTTAATAAATCTAGTCACTTAAGAACTGTAGCTTTGATGAAGATAACCCAGGGGGAGATAAAATGTTCTAGCCTAAGGAAGCTCGCCCCCCTACCGATGACACAGTCCAAATACATGGAAAAATTTATTCTCATTCAAATCTTCCTGGACATCACAGGAAAGTTAATCCTTTGGGCTCCATCCTGGGTCAGGAGGGAAGGCTTTCATTGCTTGGTTAACTACTGGGGATTTTTTTTCCTTGAGTAGGGAAAGAAGGAAAGAAGGAATATTTGATGCCTGACTTAAGGGCTAGTTTGTGGATTTCCTGCACACTCCAGTGAGCGCTGGCTGAGCCACCAGGCAAGGGAGGAGGTGGACAGAACACCCCCCAAACTCACTGACTTCAGTTTGCTCTTTCATTCATTCACTGAACGCATGCTCCCATGGCAGGCCCTGTTTTACATGTGATAGTGCATAAGACATGGTCCCTGCCTGCAGGCAGCTTACAGTCCGGTGGAGAAGACAAATAGCAATTAGAGTAAAATCTGACAGAATAAAATGCTTTTTCCTTACCCCTAAATGCCCTGAATGATGTACCCCTGCCTCCATCTCTGAGCTCATTTTCTACCACTTGGCCCCGACTCACTCCCTCCCCTTTGGCCACACCAGGCTTCTTGCTGTTCTTTGAATAGGCGCACCTTGTTCCTGACTCAGGGCTTCGTCCTTGCTGTAGTGCCTGCCTGGAGCACTCCTCCAGTTCACTGAAGTCTCTGCTCAAAAGTCACACCCCTATAGAGACTTCCTTTATCACCCAAGTGAAACAGCACTCCTTCCGCCCCTCTCTTTTCTCATGTTCTTAACAGTGCTTGTCAGTATTTGATTAAACCAGATGTTGAGTATTGCCTGTCTCCCCATCACAATGTAAATGCCATGAAGGCAGAGTTTGTCTGTCCTGTTCACTGCAATTTCCGTAGAACAAGCCTGGCACAAAGTAGATGCTCAATAAAGACTTGTTGCTGTATAAGCACAATGATAAGGAAGGTACAGCTGGAAAGAGAACCCATTCTGGGGCAATCAGAGAAGGCCTCCCAGAAGAAGTGGCAGATGTGAGAGGGAGTTAGCTGGATATTTGGAGGGAGGGGTACAGAGGAGAGGAGACAGAGAAACAGGGAAAAGTGGCTGCAAAAAGCACATCAGAGTGCCGGGCCACTCTGGATGGTTGCAAGACATTGGCAAAATGTGAAAGAGGTGAGAAAGAGTCCCCACATCTGGTCTTCAGCAAAGTATCTGCTGACCTCTCCCACTGAGCTTGCCTCCTGCAGAGCTGCCCTCAGAACATCTCTGACACCACAGGGAGATGTCTTGCTGGATGGCACCCTCTTGTGGCCCAATCCCCTAGAATAGAAGGCCTGGGACCATGACTTTAGTGTCCAGCCTCCTTCTCTGATCCTCTTCCCCTTACCCAAAACAAACAGACAGATAGACAATTACCCAGTGGTAAAGTTGATCCTTTGGTAAGATGGTTTCTTAGACTTGGCATTTTAAACTTTTGTTTAAAGGTCAGGGCCCCATTGGACAATTGTCATAACAGCACACACTTACTGATCATTTCCTATGTCCTGGGGACATTGTGTATATTCATTCATTTACCCCTCACTGTACAGTAACACTGACTATCAGTGCCCCGATTTCACAGAAGAGGAGGGTGAGGCATGGAGGTTTGACTAGCAGTCCAGGTTGTCGGGCTGGTGAGCAGCAGCGCAGGATTCACACCCAGGCAGCAGGCTCCATATCCATGCTCCAACTGTGGCTCGGTGCCACACTGAGGGTCACAGAAAGGCTAGGCCTGGGCAGCTAAGAGGGAGGATAGAAGAGCCGCAGGCACTACAGAGAACAAATGCCTCGATTGCAGCCATCTCCCATCCCCCTGAGTGGCTCTTGGAGGACCTGGAGCCAAAGGAACTGCCCATGAAGTAAGGAAAACTCCACAGTTTGTGGAGAGAGGATGGTGCAGGATGTGGACTTGAGCTTCCCAAGTGCCTTGAGGCACAGAGCCAGGGGTGTCACTGTGCCAGGCTCAGCAGGCCCCAGTCCTTGTGCAGACAGCCCCAGTGCGGCCAGCCTAGGCGCGTGGCTGCTTCTCTCAGCCTCCTTCACCATTTATGGTATCTGAGCCTCTGGCCTTTGCAGGTCAGTAAATCCCCACACTGGGAGAGGGCTCTCACTCATGCAGGCTGCTCTCAGAGCAAGTCCAAATGGCCTGGCAGGGTTCCTGCCAGGGCCTCTGTGCTTCTGCTTTAAAATACGCTTGGATGGGCCGCCATGCACGCCCCACTCCTCCCATAGACCTGGAAACAAGAAGGATGGCTGCAAGACTTCTCGAGCTTTCACCTGGGGCCCCCACCAATAGCTGGACTATGAGCTCAGCTGAGTCTCTAATCTGATCTTAACTCTGGCAACCCAGGAAAGGCACTGGATTAGACAGGCCACTGGCTGAAGCGAGTGAGGGGCCTGCTCAAATGACATGTTTATTGAACGCCATCCTGGCTCTTTCCTGTCACTAGACTTTGGGGTAGGCCATGCAAACCTCCAGTGGGAACTCCCTGGTGGGAAAGAGCGAGCGGCTCCCCTGGTCCAAGGAGACAAGGCTCAGTTCTGCTCTTGTTTCCTCTTAAGTCTCATTGCCACAATTTCCCCAGGCCCCTCAACGAGCCAGGAAACAAGATCCGTGAGGAAACGGGTTAAATGTGTAAACCAGAATGCTGGCTGACAAACACCCAGCAGCCAGAGAGTCAGACTCTGACCAGAGTGCCAGGGGCTTCTGGAAGAAAGAGAGACCAAGTCACAGGAGATGACCCCATGCAGAGGCACCTGTGAGAAGCAGGAGAAGCCAGGCAGCCGCAGGCAGCCAGTGTTGGCCACCCTGTCAGTCAGTGCTAATTCCTTTATCCCTAAGGGGCTGACACAGCCTAGCCAGAGGGGCCAGCCTCCTACTTGGGGTCAGAGGACACACACTCTGGAAAGGACAGGCACAGAAACGGGCATAGGCCAGGAGTCCCGAGGAGCTGGGTTTGAAGGCTAGCTTGACTCACCAACTTGGTGTACTTAGGCCAGCACATTAATTTCTTGAGACCTCCAGACCCCTCTGTATAAAATAGGGATAGCCCCCCCACGCCCAGGGCTGTGGAGGTCCTGGTGAGAAAATACAGGCGAGGTGGGAGATTCTAATGCAATGACCAGCACGTGACTTTTCCCTGGCCCTTTTCAGCGAAACCTCCTGTGGTCTTCTAGAAGTTGGCTGCTCATGTTACAGGGACATTCTCCCTGGGAGGCCGAGCCCTGGGGGATAAGCAAGGAGACACGGTCCTCTTGCTGGTCCACAGGGAAAGCAGAGTACAGAGCACCCAGACTTCAGTCACACACAGGAGCGGGGGCCCAGGCCAGAGGTGAGGCGGGCAGTCCGGCTTACCTGAACACCCAGGACGCCTGAAGCACTTCCCTGGGCACTGTCACCACCACGGAAGCCATAGCCCAGGCAGCTGTCCTCAGTTCTGTGGCTGCCCTGCGACTTCCTGAGACTAAGCACTTGGCAGTGAACAAGGGATGACTGTGATAATCAGATTACTAGACACCAGGCTGGTGATGTATACAAACAAGCCTGGGTGGGGGAAGGGAGGGAGGAGCAGGGGCAGACCCCTTAGAAACTTCAGTGCTGGCACTCTGTTGCCCCATGCCCCCCAGCATGTGAGGGGTCATTCATGGGAGCCCTAAGTCTTAATGGGATAGGGATACTCCTCTGAGGTCATTGTTCAGTGTGCCGTTTTCTTCCTCCCCGATCCACAGCTTCTTGAACCAAAGGAGTCTAGGCCTCTGTCTCTGCATCTTTCCTCAGCCCTAGTGAGGTATGGGGGTGGGGACTCATCTCTGCATGTCCATCTCCCAGGGCAGACACTTGTCACCTGCCTGCTCTCAGGTGCAGTGCCCTTTTTCCAAAGCAGATGTGTTTGTAGAAGCTCTTACCATGGACAGTGACCTGGGCGCTGCAGGACACCTGCCCCAAGGGGTTCTCAGCCAGACAGGTATAGGTGCCATTGTCCTCCGGCAGGGCATCCTGGATGTGGAGCGTAGCCACGCCAGCCTCACAGGTGGAGTGAGCATACTGGATGGGCTGCCCTGTGGAGAAGCACAGGGAGGCTCACCAGGGGGCACTGGTGGTGGGGATCTGAGCCCTGTCTTCAGCAGGGCTGCTGCTGCTGGGACTCTGATGCTCACCATGGTTGCGTGGATCCGCTGAGAGCTAAAGACATGTCACACCCATCCCCAACCACCTGGGCAGAGGCTTGTGGGTGGAGAAAGAGACAGGTCCCAGGGAGATGAAGGAGAGGAGTAATTGTGTGAGATGGAGGAGCCCGACTGGAGCTGGAAGGCCTGGGGGAGGGGTTCTGGAGGCATTTAGCATGTGGGAGGGAAAGGGACATAGTTCTGTGCATTCTGTTTAAACAACCAGTCCCCCAGTCCGCATCCCGGACTTCACAGAGTTCTGAGCCTGGAGAGATTCTTACAGGGTCGGCTGGCCCATAGCCCAGTCTCAGGCATAAAAGACCTCACCCACACTGAGCGGAAGGCTCCTGGCTCCTTTCAAGTCACTAGAAATAATGATTCCCATTTCCCATTGCAGATATTTCTCAGAAATCTCAAACTAATGTTGCAAGTAGGTGCATTTTAGGGTTCACGAAAAAGATAAATATGGGGAACCTTAAACGACTCTGGCCCCTTCGTCCCAGAGACCCTTCTACCACAGGCCTTTTATAAAATCCTGCACGGAAATAGGAACACATGCTATGAACTTCAGTGGTTTCCTTAATGCTGTATGTTCCTGGGACATTATCATTCCAAGATGTGAGCTTTCATTTCCAGGGAAAAAAAAATCTCATTACTGCAGATTCCAGCCTTAGAGCAGGAATGTGTCCACTCACTATATAGGAAGCAGCTGTCAGTTTCTTCCCCTGGCAGGCTGCAGGGTCCTGGTTTGCACTTCATAAAATTGGGAGTGGGCAGTGGGGGAAGGAGAAAGTACAGAAAGAAGTGCTCTCTCAGCAACGCAATGTTTTCTTCTGCACAAAACAACACTTCATGTCTCCATGACAGTCCGGCAGAGGCTGCCAAGCATGCCATAGGACTTGGGGAAGCGATTCTGCCCGAATTACTGCACTTCATAAAAGTGGGGCTGGGAAAGGCAGGCGCCAGGATCCTGCTACCGAAAGGATTGAACACTGCTCTTGGCTTTTATTTTTTATGGAAATGACACCTTGAAAACTGTCTTCCTTGGGAATACCAGTACATCCCAGGACTGCCATCCAAGGGCCTCTGCCGCCAGTACACGCGCTGCTGAGCTGGGGGAGAGCTCTCCTTTCACTAGTGCATAACTCATTTTGTCAACACAAGATGGGATGAAATGGTGGTTCCAGAAAAGTGACATTCAGGATTGGGAGACACAGGACTCTCCCAGCTCCAAGAAGGTTAGGACCAGAGTTACGGTAGCTGCCAAGGGAACTCAACTTGAGCACGGTTGTCCTCTAGTGGTAAGAGCGTGGAAATGCCAAGATTCACCAAGGAGAAGCAGGAAGGGTTGCTTTTCAGTCCTGAGTGGTGTAGACCAGGGTCAGCAAACTAATACTGCAGGCCAAATCTGACCTGCAGTCTGTTTTTGTATAGCCTGAAAGCTAAGAATAGTTTTTATATATTTTAAATGGTTGAAAACATCAAAGGAAAATATTTCATGGCATGTGAAAATTGTATGAAATTCACATTTCAGTGCCCATAAATAAAGTTTGACTGCAATACAGCCATGCCCATTCATTTACATATTGTTTCTGGCTGCTCTTGTGCCAAGACAGCACAGTTGAGAAGCTGTGACAGAAAGGATATAGCCAGTCAAGCTGAAGATACTATCTGGCCCTTTATAGAAGAATTTTATTGCCTCTCTGGCTGTGACTCTGAGCCAGATGGGAGTGAAACTCTCTTACTCAGATCCATCACTCCTTAAGGTCAAGTTCTGCTCCAGCCACAAGGAGGCTGCCTCTTTGCAGTTAGTCAGGGGATCAACAGGAGCTCTGTTCTTAATCGGGGGTGGAGGAAAGGGAGACCTCAGTTCTCACTTCTATCTAAGTAGACAACACATAAGAAAATTCCACGGCACCTTTTCCCACTGATTAAAGATAATTTTTATCAAAACTTAACAAACTATTTCAACGAGGAAGGTTCACAGCCAACAAACATGTCAATGGTGCCAAAACATCTGGGGGTCATCTGGTGCAGAGGTGATGGGTTCCGCTGCTCCTTTAAGGAACCTATTCTATGTGAGAGTTGGCCAAGACCTTGAACATTCTGTTCCAGCTCGTGTCCTTATGGATAAAGAAGCTGCATAAATGGTAGGTACAAAATAGACAGGGTGCAGTTAAGAACAATATAGGAAATGGAGAAGCCAAAGAACTTATATGTACAACCCATGGACATGAACTAAGGGGCAGGGCAATGCTGGTGGGAGCGGGGGTGCAGGGCGGAGGGGGATAAGGGAGAAAAAATGGGACTTTTAAAATAGAATAATCAATAAAATATACTTAAAGAAAAGAAGCTGATGCCCAGAAAGGTAAAGTGGGGTGTCCAATGTCACCAAACCACTTGATGGCATGGAAGGATGCCAGCCATTGTCTCTTAACTCTTGGCAGGCATTTCTTCATTTCCCCTGTTAATCCCTAAAGCAGACCTTGCTCAATTTCATCAATTTTATGGATTGTTCTCATTTCTAAAATTAGAGTTCTTCTATACTTTTGGGTTTTCAAGTCCTTTTTCTTCTTCTTCTCCTTTTTTTTTAAATGGTGATTATATATGATAATTTTTTCAAAGGAACTTCCTTGGCCAAAAAAGAAAATTGGCATGTTTTCATAGGTCTATAACATTAAAAAAGAATTACTGATCAATGAATCTCAAAACCACTTGCCTCTAAATATAAGACAAGGCCCTTTGAGTAACCTCTAGTATGGTTCATTAATTTTATATGTTTGTTCATTTGTTGACTCAACAATATTTATTGAGGGCCTATTATGAGTCTGGCCATACAAAAGAGAAATAAACTACTTGTGCACCTATGTGCCAGGCACTTCATTAACTGTTTTATATAAAGGATCTAATTAATCTCACAATTGCCATCGTGGGAGGTAGGTGGCATTATTCCTGTCTCACGGGTGAGGAGCTCAAGGCTCTGGAAGAGTGGTAGCTTGCCCAGTATCCCCAGCCTGGCAACAACAGCCTCTCAGGTCCCTTTTCCTCTCTGTACTCTTGGCTTCCATCTTATGCCTATGTGTTGCAGAGTGATAAATGGGGATGCCAAGTAAGAATGAAGGCAAGACCAAAGGGTCCAGGGGACTGTGGCAGGGGACTGGGGTAGGCTCTGGGACAGGAAGGCTCACCATTTATCAGCCAAGTGATTTGGGGCACTGGGGTCCCCTGCACTGAGCACTGCAGCACAAAGTCCTGGCCCTCAATGACGGTGCAGTCCTTTAGGACACTGGAGAATGAGGGGGCCACCTCCATCACGGCCATTTCTGTGAGGGCAAAGAACAGACAGGCCATTTCAGATCACAGCTGGCCCATTATGGCTGTGGACTACAGTCATCTCAAGTCTTGCAGGCAGACGCCTCACTGTCCTGGGCACCCAGGGCTTCTGTGGAGGCCTGGCTTTGACTTATCTGTCTTCACACTTAATTTCCCATTGTAGAGACCTGGAGCCTGGGTCCAAGTAACTGGCAGGGGTTTTTCACCATCACAAAACACTGGGAGTCTTCTGAAAGTGCTCAGAACCTGGGCCTTGCCTGCTGCCCCCCCCCCCCCCACCTTAGGCATCTCCGGTATTATCTTGACTTTTGCTCTCCTGGAGCATCCCTAGCGCTCCTCTTCCCACTTTTCCTGGCCCTACTCTACTTTCTAGCGTCTTTTATCTTTTTGTGTCCCATTGGTGACTGCACAGTCTTGTGAATATCTTTTTACATGGACAGACCACTTGTCCACTGGTGAGAACATTTCAATTTTAAGGCATTATAATTATTTTTTTCCAATTCCAAGACTGAATCAAATGACAAACTCGTATGTGTTCTAGTTTCCCATCTTTGGCCAATGGCTCAGAACAATGGGAGCACCTGGACTTATGTATTACTAAGCTCCCTCATGAAGCTGATGTATATTCCAGTTGAAGACCACCCAGCTGGACTTCCCAGAAGTCTTCTGCATTGGTGAACTGGGGAGCATTTTGTAGTTTGAAGACCTTAGTTAAGAGCAATAAGGGTAGATATTTTCCTCTACAACAACCATAACATACTGTAGAAATGTCAGGATGGCTGATAGCTAAGAAAAGGTAACTGCTTTTGATAATTATTATAGAAGATATCTCACCTGTACTTTTCAAGGGAAGCTATTCAATACAGTGGTGAGAAGTAAGCCATTTAATATTGCAAGGATTTATGGGAAAAAACTAATATTTGAGGGCTTACTATGTGCCAGGTACTTTTTCAGATGTGACTGTGAGAAGTACATAAGTTAGCTATCTTTAGCTCACTTTACAGATGAAATTAGTGATTTCCCACAGTCAAGCCCCCTGGTGAAGCAAAGCTTTATGCCCAGCTCTCTGACTCTATATCTACACTTCCTCTGCTAGACCAGAGCTCCCCTAAGGAAAGAGTAGGCAGTAGGAGAGCAGCTGGAAGTCCGGATGCTGCTGCACCTGATGATGGCTCTGAGGGAGGGATGCACAGGCTAACTTGAGAGGTGTGGGGAGGAGAGGTGACATCTGCTCCTGTTAGTGTCAAATTCTCTCCTTAGAAAAATGCCTTTGGGAGCCATTGAAAATAATATGGGCTTCCATGTCAGACCAATGTGGGTTAGAAATAGGATATCTTTTAAAAGCTTGTGACCTTGGACAAGTCACTTAACCTCACCACAACTCAGTATTGGGTGCAACTACAATTAGTTTGTAAGATTGTTGGGATAACTATGGGGAGCAATACAAGTAAAACATTAACACAAACACTGGCACACTGAACAGGCCTTTTTTCGCTTGGGCATTAATTGTTATAATCAAATAGAAGCTGTGCATAAAGACTATGTCTAGTGGGCTGCAAGTTTAAGGATAAAAGCAAGTGGAGAGAGATAGCAGGAGCTAAAGAGGCAGTTGAGTAGAAAAAAGATTTTTCTTTGCTTTTTCAACACAAGAAAGTCCAGAGCATGCTTGAAGGGAAAAGAAAGAGGTCCCTAGATAAAGGGAGGAGAAAAATTTTTGGTTATAATCTTTGTGGATAAGGGAAAGGATGGAAAGAGAAGTCTCTGTAAGAGAAATAGACAGCTTTTCTGTGGTGACAGAAAAAAGAGAAGGGGGGGCATTTTAAAGAAAGATAGATGGGTACAAGAATATTTATCACAGTTTTCTTACAATAGTGAAAAAATGGAAAAAATATAAACATTCAATAATAAGGCCATGCTAAATTTGGTACATTATTTTATAAAATATTATGTGGCCATTAAAAATTATGCTTTCAGGATAGAATCAAGATAGCAGAAGAGTGAGTAGAAGTCACACCAACCTCCTCCAAGGACCAATCTATAATTACAACTAAATTGTGGAGGAATCACCTTGATCAAACAACTAAACAATAGCGAGAGAGGAGCCTTTTAACCTTGGACAGACAGAAGAATCAGCTTTTGTACAAACTAACTCATAAGGAGTGTGGTAGAGACTCAAGAAGGTGGGCAGGGTGCCCACGGGCGCCAGCACCAGTAGGATATTGGTCAGTTGGTCAATTGGATCCCCCTGAGAAGAGCAGGGTCTAAACCATAAGTGGGGATCTCCAACCTACAGCACCAGAGCCCATAAAGTACACAGATAACAGCCAGCCGCAAAAAGCAGCAGGGTTGCTCTGTGCCAGAGATGGGCAGCTGGAGATGCAAAGAGCCGTTTAAAGGGCCAACACATAAATTTTTATTGCAATCACTTATGCTGGTCTCCGGCAAAGGCAGGGACAGAGAGGGCTAGAGACACTAGAGAAGAGACTGGGGAAGGAGGCTTTGGGGAGAGAACTGAGAGACTAGCCAGTGGGATGCTGGTGCCAACTCCTCTGCCATACAGCAGCAGCCATCCAGCTTAGGCAAACCACTCCCCTCAGTGGCAGCAGCGTGAGAGGACCCAATAATCCCGCCCCCAGGAGGGACTCTGCCCCACCCTGTGGTGTCTAAATTGGGCTGCTGAGTGCAGAGTGACTAGATTAACAGCTGAAGGAGACAGCCACAAAGAGTAGATTCCTGGAAGTCTTGAACAGACTGCTTAAGGTCAGATGGGGTCAACATCTGACATCATCAGAGACAGATCCAGAAAGGAAAAAAAACAGTGGTCTACTAACATATAAGTTCACACCACAAAGTCAGGAAATCAAGACAGATCAATTTAAGAAGCAGAAGCCAAAAAGAAGAGTCTCACAAATAATGGGAAGACAAAGAAACACCCCCCAGTTGAAGGGAAAGGAGGAATCCCCAGAAAGAGAACTAAATGATATAGAGACAAGTCAACTATCAGATATTGAGTTCCAAACAATGGTTCTAAGGAAGGTCAATGAGCTCAGTGAGCTTAGAGAGAATTACCAAAAACAACAGGGAAACTATGAGGAACTAACTGCAAACTATATCAGTATGAAAAAGGACATAAAAACTATCAGTAGGAGACAAAAGGAAATGAAGAACATAATTTCTGAATTGAAGAACACAGAAGGAATCAAAAGCAGGCTCAATTAAGTAGAGGGTCAAATCAGAAAGCTGGAGGATAACGTAGAAAAAAGCTCCCAGAATGAGCAAGAAAATGAAAAAAGGACTCAAAAAGAATGAAGAGGTGTTTAGAGAAATGCAGGACAACTGGCAATGTAATAATATCAGTATAATAGGGATACCAGAAGGAGAAGAAGAGGAGCAAGGGATAGAGAATCTGTTTGAAAAAGTCATGATGGAAAATTGTCCTAATTTGAGCAGAGAAAAAGTCACACCAGTCCAGGAAGCACAGAGGGTCTCATTCAAGACGAACCCAATGAGGCCCACTCCAAGACACATCATCATGAAAATGGCAAATATCAAAGACAAACAGAGAATCCTAAAGGCAGCAAGGGAGAAAGAGGTAGTAACATGTAAGGGAGCCCCAGCACAGCTAGCAGCTGACTTCTCAACAAAAACACTACAAGCCAGAAGGGAGAGGCAAGAAATATTCCAAGTCATGAAAAGCAAAGGCCTGCAACCAAGACTGCTCTACCCAGCAAGGCTCTCAATTAAAATGAAGCCAAAATAACGAGTTTCCTAGACAAAAGAAGGCTAAAAGAATACAGGTCCACCAAACCAGCATTGCAAGATATGCTAAAGGGACTGCTGAAAGAAGATGAAGAAAAAGAGTCTATGAATACCCACTTCCTTTCACAGTCACTGATACTTGATATCACCAATATTTTAATACTTATTAATCTGATTGTGACAATGATGTATTATTTTCATTGTTACTTTATTATTTGTTGAAACTAAACCTGTTTTTGTTCATTTCTTGCCCATTTCTATTATTTTTAAAAAGCTTTCAATGACTTTTTGGTATTCTTTATCCATTTTTTGATTAAATGTTTGTAGAGTTTTTTCCCTAGAAAAAAACAAAAAACTATTAACCCTTTTATAGATGTGTTGCAAATATTTTCCTAGTCTATTACTTGTCCTTTAACTGTTTTTTGCATGAATATTACTGTATAGTCTTAAATGTTTAATATAGTCATATTGTCAATATTTCATTTTATAGCTTCTGGGTTTGAATATTTTACTTCAGGGTAAGGAAAGTATTGTTTTGGATTTTCTCCTAAAACTCCTTAGATTTTACATATTAATTTTTAACTCACCTGAATATTTTTTGTATAATGTGTGAAATAGGGCTTTGTATTTGTTTTATTTCAAGTAATAGTGGTCCATGCATCTTATTGGTTGAATAAGCCTTATTTTCTTCATTGATTTGAAATATCAATTGAATCATATATTACATTGTTAGATATATACGTTTGTTTCTAGAATGCTCATTTTATTTCATTGATCTACTTGATTATTTCTGTGATGGTGTCATGTTGTTTTAATTGCTGAGACTTTATAATGGATTTAAATTTTTTAATATTTTATAATGGATCTTGACATTTAAAAAATAAATAAATAAAAACAATCTGCATTTAAATAAAATAAAAAAGAAAGAAGGAACTCCTATCTTTTGCGACAACATGGATGGAACCAGTGAATATTAAGCTAAGTGAAATAAACCAGTACGTGAATGACAAATACCATATGATCTCACCTGTAAGTGGAATCTATTCAACAAAATAAACTAACGAACAAAATAAACCACAGGCACGGAAACATGGAGCAGACTGAAAGTGACCAGAGAGGTTGGGGAAGGAGGACAATGGTGGAAAGAAGGAGAAGGGACTAAACAAAGAACATGTATGAATGACCCATGGACATGGACAATAGAGTGGGAATTGACTGTGGGAGACGGGGGCAGGGTGGGATGGGTGGAGGAGGGCAAAGGAGGGTATAGGATAAACATGATTTAAAAATAAAAAATTTAAAAAATTTATGCTTTCAAATAATATTAAATAATATAGAAAGATGCTTAAGTAAAATGAATAAATTAGAAGAGAAAGCAGTGTAAAAACAGCACAATGTTGATATTGTTTTAAAAATATTAAAATACCATTTATTTGAGTCGTATGATCATATATCATTTAAATTCCCCACAATGGGTATGAATTACTTTTATAAACAGATATTACAATAAACATAAAAGATGTGGGATCCCACATCATCTCACATTACTTTAAACGTGTATATTTAGTGAACGTTTGGTTCCCTGTGGTTACAAAAGTGAATCATGGCTTTACTAGGACAGCTGAGGAACCTAAAAAAGGTAGCTCTCAACTGGGCTGGTCGTGGGGCCTGGGCGCATTAATTCTGAGGTGATTTTGATGAACTCTGATCAGGAATCTCTGTCCTGGAGCAATGACTTTGGCCTTGACATGTGTGTGGGGACAATGTTTCTGTGGGGTTGTACACCCTGGGTGGAGAGCTGTGGGAGATGACCTTGTGCAGTATATGAAGCCTCCTCCCAACAACTCAGGCAGAGTGGCCTAGAGAAATGTACTCACTTTTCACAAGGAGCGTCCAGTCACAGGACACCTGACCTAGGACATTGGAAGCTGTGCAGCTGTAGTTCCCGCTGTCCCTTGCTTGGGCTCTCAGTAGGCAGAGATAATGGGATCCACCATCTTCATAAATCTCCATGGTGCCTTCTCGTCTTCTCACAGGGGCACCTTCTAGGAACCAGGTCACTTGGGGCTTCGGAATACCTGAAACTACAGGTCCAGGTGAAGACCATGAGGATCCCAGAGAGCGCACTGTGTTTGGAGGGTGGACGGCTGAACCTGAAGGAAGAACTTAGCCTGGTGTGTAGCCGCCTCCTACTTGAGTTCACTTTCTTACCCTTCAACCTTCCCCATCACAAAAGTAAATAACCTAAGACAGAGGCAGGGTCCTTGGGGGCAGGGATACAGGGTGACAGCTAGGTATCCATGTGAGCCAATGCCAGCAGAAGGTAGGATAGAGAAGGAGACCCTATGGCTGCTTTTCTGATGGTGATGGCAATGGTGATGATGAGTTTTCCTCTCTAGGGTGGTAAGATTTAGGGCATGAGGCTGATGCTCTACCCAACAATGAGCAGATGGATACTGCTGGGTATTTCTCCAGAACAAGAGACATTACCAGACTCAGTACTTTCTGAGAGAAGATTCCTGTAAAGTGGCTTCTGGAGTGGGCAGTGTCCCAGGGGTGGGTGGGTACAGGAGGCTTAGATTACTGTGCTGAAGGAAGGGAGTAGCCATGCAGGGCTACATTGTGGGGACCAGTGACCTTAGTTAGTTCTACTCACCCTCACATCTGAACTTGACAGTTTGATCTTCACAGACTTCCTGGCTTTGGGGCTTGCTCTCAAATTTGGGGAATGTTGAGTCCCTCTGGCTCTCCATGGGGATTTTCCTGGTAGCAACCTTGTTCACAGCTTCTTGGGTTCCCAGGCCAGACTGTCTTGTGGGGAGGGTGGCTGGATGGGGAACAGCTGGCCTCTCCCCCTCTTCTCTGGAAGAAAGGAGGGAGCCTGAGACTGGTGCTTTAGATTCCAGCTGGACTTTTGTGGCCTGCAGGGTGATGGTGCTGGAAGTCTTCTGCAGGATTGGGGTCCTCAGGGTCTTTCTGTGTGAGTCCCCAGACGGCTCCAGCTTGGATTCTCTCAGAGGCTGAATCTGGCTACTTGTGGCCCAGGTTGGGGAGCCACCTCTTTGGGTGTTGGAGCAGTTTCTACTTTCAGCTGTAGTTTCTACGCTGTCCAGTTTCAGCCCCTGCGTGATTCCATTGGTCACTTCCTTCCTGATATTTGAATTGGCTGCCTTTGTTCCCCTCAAAAATGACCTGTTTCATGGTGATAGTGAGGGGGGAGGGAGATAGTGGGGGGGAAGACAGTGGGGAGGGAGAAAGAGGAACAGAATAATCATCCAGTTACTCACAAGCATTACTCATCACAAGCACAGATTCCACAGATCACAAAAGCCCACAGATTAAAAGAAAGTGAGAGCAAAAGTCTTTCTCTGCAGTTTTCTCAGTTTCCCAAGGCATAAAACAAGCAGCCATTCTCGACACTCCCCTGCCTCTCATCCCCAATCCAGAGCCTGTTCTTTCTACTTATCAGCTGCTTTTTTTTCTCTTCTCCCTAAGTGCCACCCTAGCTCACATCACACAGCCAGCTTCCCTTGTCCACTCTGGCCCTCTCTAATCCGTGTTCCACATAGCAAGCATAGTCAATCTTTACAAAACAGAAATCACATCATATCATTTCAAGCTTAAAGATTTCCCAACAGCTTTTCCATTATATTAAGAACAAAACTGAGCTTCCTGAGATGGCCTACCAGGATGCCCCTGTGTGTGCAGGCTCCGGCTGCCTCTTGAACCTCAGAAGGCACTGTCTCCATACCTACCACGCTGCAGCCACAAGGGCATCCCTCCCAGTACCCACCTCTCATCGGACCTCTTTCACACATGCTTCCTTCTCTGTTTGGAACACTTGCTCCCTGAGTTTTTCTGCCCCTAGTTAATATTATTCTTCATAGGCCCAAGCTCCAACATCACATTTGCAGGAAGGTTTTTCTCACCCTCTACCATAGATGAGCACTTCTTTTGTTATTGCTCCTCGGACTCACCACAATTTGTGATTACATATTTGTGCAGCTCTGCTTAAAGCCCTTCTCAACACTAGATATGTGCTCAGCCCGCACCCCCAGGGCCTGGCACTGAACCTTGCATATAGGGAAGGCCACCCCTGAGGAAGAGGTGCTGAAGGAGCTGTAGGCTGTGGCCTGACATGTGGAAGGCACCTTTTCACAGCAGAGTGCCCCTCCTAATGATGCTGACTTGATCAGACACAGTGAAAGACAATGACACTGTGTCTACAAGAGTCTCAATACTGGTGGCAAGTCTGACATAGAACCTGGATGGCATATTACCACAGGACAACAAAACAAAACACCCAAAAGAAAACAACACCCCGCAAACAGTTCTCCCTCCCACTATGACTCAGAAATTCAGGGCAGCTCTAATGGAAACATAATGACCATAACACCTAGACATACCTATTGGCATTGTCCAAACCTGGAAAAAGGGAGAGGGGAGAGACACTGTTAGTGGGGTATTTTATACACCAAGAGGACAACAGTCTCTTCCATTTATTTGAGAGTTTTTACTTCCTAAGTTCTCACTTTCTCCCTCTCCCATGGTCCCACCTTCCTCACTCCTTTCAGCTTCTCTGGCCCTGAACTTCTTGGGTTGACCTGAGAGGTGCTCAGTGTCTCTGAGCTCCGGAGACACTGTCAGTGCTTCCACTGCTGCCTGGCTGCTGTACCTGCAGCAGGGCCCTGTCCTGTCCTGTAGGCCACAGTGGGGAACCAGACCCAATAGGGGGACAAACAAAAACAAACACATGTGGAAGATTTCAAACCCAAACAATTCACCCAAACTTACTCCTGGCTCTCAAAAACCAAAACCCCCAAATGATCATTTTTGACAAATACTGGCCACAAAATGTTAAGGGAAAGTGTATTTTTATTCAGTTTCTCAAATAAAGTAATATTTTTTCCAGCCACATTATTTTTTAAATTATATTATAGAAATTTTCAAAGTATACAATAGCAGACAGAAGGGTGTATCAAACCCTGAAAGCCAGCACCCAGATGAAGGAAATAACAATATTTTGCCACTCTTATCTACTCGTTTGTTTTGTCTTGTGGAGCTTTTTCTGGGAGTGTTTTAAAACAAATCCCAGATAACATAGCATTTTGTCATTAAGTACTTCAGAAAGGAACAGGCCTTTAACTCGCTCAATGCCACCACAGGTAAGGGAAGTGACTAAAACCCTACTCTCCATGCCTAACGCAGGTCCTGACCCTGTAATGTGTTGTGAAGTCAAAGTCTTCAGCCAAGACCAGGTGATGGAGAATGGAAAAATACCAACATGTACTATACATAGTACAGCTCAGGATTGTTTCAGTTAAATATATTTATATACAGATGTATGTCTTGGGTTGCAATGTAGAATACATTTCTTTGTGTGGGTTGTGAAAAATGCTTGGGCCAAAGATGGTAAAGAGAGTAAGAAGGAAGAGCATCTGAGGAAGGATGAAAATGTGGAAAAGAAAAATCACAGAAGAAAGGAGGTAAGAAAGGAGGAGGAGAAGTGAAGGCCATTTACCTCCTTGACCCACCAAATTCCTATTCCACCTTGCTCAGGTTCCTGTTCCACACACTCTGACATTCTCAGGCTGGACTTGATAGAACCAAGTGGAATATAGGAGACATATTCAAAGATACTTTAAAGGAAGAACTGACAGGGGCTGATAACTACAGCACAGAAGCGGCAGGGGTGGAATGTGAGGCTGGAATGTCCAGTCTGGGGGAGAAGGAAAGGAGGATCCTAGGGTAGAAAGAGTTAAGTTGAGGGAACACCTGATTTGAAGGATAGAATTAAGAGTGGGTGATAAGTTAAATTTTAGGCAGGTTACATTTGGGGTGACAGCAAGACATCAGCAACGTCCACTCGTCCAATTGGCATTTAAAGATATAGAAAAGGAGTCTGAGCAATAAAAGACTGAGGACACAGGTGTGGGGTGGAAGGTGTGTGCACAAGGGAAGCATCTTTCTCCGTGGCCATGTCTGTGCTGCTCTCCCACTTCCTTCCTGCTGGTTCAAGACCCTGCCTCTGGGGAACATATGGGCATATAAACAGGACACATGTAACACACAGGCACATAATGAAAAGCTAGGAGGGTACGGACACCAGGAAAAGACTGCATGCACTAGCCCCGCCGCCAGTCCCTACCTTGTATGGAAAGCTCCGCTGACATGGAGGCCTTCCCTGAACCATTCACCACCATGCATGTGTACACTCCCACATCATCTTGGCTGACCTTGTGGATTTCCAGAACTTGCATCCCATTCTTCTCAGACATAGACACACGGGCACTTGGCTTCAGGGGAACATCTCCCTATGGATGGCAATAGGGTAGCTTGGTCAGAGAAACCTGCTCACCTATTGGCCCTGTCCTCCTACCTCCAGCCAATCCTAGTGAGACAAGACACAAGGCATGGGCAGCAGAGCCCTCTGTTCTGGGCTCTGTCAACATGCTTAGAAAACAGACTAATTTAAAAAAATTAAGTTACAGTTGACATACACTATTAAATTAGTTTCAGGTATACAACATACTGATTAGACATTTATATGCCTTACAAAGTCATCACCTGTTAAGCCTGGTATCCACCTAATACCATATGCAGTTATTACTATATGACTGACTGTATTCTCCCTGCTGTACAAGAGCAGTCTTTGAACAGCCCCATTGCCCTGACTCAAGGTCTATGTATACAGTGTAGTGTCTGGTTGAGCTTAGAGCAGACCTATGCAACCTTTTTCAAAGGGGCCCTAATTTGAGGTGGGAAATCCTACACTCTTCATTTTAGCTCTCCTTTGCCTTCTTGTTCCTTTTATTCTTTTCCCAGGGTCAGTTTAAGAGGATTAGGAAATAGTAATACATGTCCCATCACTCATTTTAAGCCAGGGGTTCCATCTGCAGAAAATTTGTTTTCCCTGGCCTGACCCCAAATTTTCCCTGAAGCCCCTCCTTGCCCTGTTTAACAGCCAACATTCCTCCCTTGCCCCTGCTGCCTTTGCTTTCGCTTCCAACACCTCCTCTTCCATCTCTGCCTTCATGACACCCAGACCTGAAAAATTTATAAAGCACTTTCACATGGAGTATTTTGAGGGAGGTGGGATAGCTCTGCCTCACAGATCAGGACACCAGGGTTCTAAGAGATCAAATGACTTGCCCAGTGTCACATGCTTTGTGAACCAGGGAGCTGTGTCTTAAAACATAGTCCCATGATTTCAAATTCCAGTCTCTGGTGATGGTCAGGTCTGCGTTGCCTCAGAAGTCTGGTGCTGTTTTGTGAGTGTGTGGATTATAGGACATTGTGGACTGAGTAACAGAGGGAGAGCGTGCAAATAGGGGCAAGAACAAGCATGGCGATGAAACCTACAGAGAACTACTATGGATGAAACCGACAGGACTAATTAAAAAGACACTCCCACTAGACCAAGGGTCTAACCCTAAACTTTCAGGATCCCCAGGCCTGGCTGGAGTTGCAGCAGACAAAACCTCACCTTGAGCCAAGTGACCTGTGGTTGGGGCCGGCCAGTGATCTTGCAGGAGAATCGTCCCATCTGTCCTTCTTTGACCACTGCACGGCCCAGCTTGGTAGCAAACTTTGGTGGGCACTCTCCCCAGATGCTGGGACGGGTCTCTGCTGCAGGGGACATGAATCTGTCCCTGGAAAGAAATGAGGAGAGAATCCAGCCCCAGAAACTGCAGTCATTCAGATCTTATCTCTGACCCCCTCCAACCACTGAAGCTGGGGCCAGGAACCAGTAAAGGGCAGCCTTCCCAACTCTATACCTCAAACACACTTTTGGTACACTCTCTGGAAAAATCTGTGGTCCCAAAACCTGTTTCTTTTACCTCAGAGTCATGCAGCTAGATTCCATTTACTAGACTCCCTTGAAATGGGATATACCTGAATTCTACTGGTTCTGGCCAAAAGCCCATGTTTTGGTCAACAGACTATGGGCAGAAGAGCTGTATGCCACTTCTAGACTGGACCCATAAAACCTCCCGTGAGATTCTCCACACTCTCTCTTGCCCACTCTTCTGGCTAGATGCAGAGGGTGTGGCAGAGGCTCCAAGCACTAGGAGATGATGGAGCCACAAGAAGTCAAGAACCTGGATCCCTGAAAAATAATGGGAACGTTCTCCACATTTTCAAGAATATCTGAATTGACTTTGCTTGAGTAAGAAATAAACTTTCCCTGTGTTAGGTCATTACGGTTAGGGGGTCGGTTTGTTATAGCAACTACTGTTACTTATCATTACCAATATAGGTTCACTTTCCGTAAGGAGTTTCACATACTGATGGCCTCTTCCAAGTCTACTTATTTAAGTCTTTCAACCATTGCCTTGATTGTTAGACAGGCCTGCAGACCATGTGGCCATATAGCCCCCTTCCTTAACAGGAGGCACTTTGTGAATGACCCATCATATCCCAATAGGCTCCTGCTTTAGTTATCATAACCCAGGATGCCCAAGATTTGCTCCCTAGACCTGTTCTGTCAAGTCTGCAGGAAAAGCCAATCCAGTCCTTACCCTGGCTTGAACATCCTAGAACTTACCCCATAGTTTTGGAGACAGGCTGAACATGCTTCTTCTCAAAGCCCCCTGCAAGTAGGAAACAAGAAAGAGGCTTGAAGACTTGGGTCTGAGCCACCCAACTTGGAGCAAAGAGTGAGTCAGAGAGTCAACATGGGTGGGTGGAATAATAATGACATAACAATAGAAGAAGTGAGCCTGTATGGATTAGGCACTGCAGCGGGCACCTTACATACATCATCACATGATTTCCTGTAATAATTTAAGGTGGCTGGTATACATGATCTGTTCTATTTTTTAAATAGATATGAAAAATGAGATTCAAAGAAGCCGCCCACTTAAGCCACAGGGCCAGGAACAGTGCAGGAATGTCTCTGGGTCTGCCTGTTCTAGAACACTCAACCACTCTGCTGGGCTGTGATGTGCCACTGGAACTTCCACTTTGGGGATTGACCATGGTGACCTTCAACCTCTCCAGAAAATGACTCAGTTGAGGGGAGGGAGGGAGGGAGAGGCACTTGCACCTCTCTCATCACATCTGGTCATGTTGGATACAATCAATACTCCATGTTTCCACTTAAGACACAGCAAATATAGCAATACCCATCCTGCTGGAACAAAGCAAGTGATTGGAGATGAGCTACTGTGGAGTCTGCAGTTAAACAGCAAACGCAGTGAGGCAGCTGGGGTCAGCACCTTTTATCCAGCTGCTACTGCAGGGAGGGACAATTCATAATGTGATCACAAAGTGATCATAAAGTGGCGGAGTGTTTTTGAGGAATAGGGAGGGGGAGGGGAAGGCATTTTTGAGATGGTGATCAGCCTGGAAGTTGTTTTCTTTGTCACAAGTTGAAAATGTTTATGAAACCCTGCCTGAGGCTCACATGGAAAGGGCAGATGTCATTCCCCGATATCAGCAGGCAGCCACAAGGTGAGACTGCAGGGTGTTTAGTGGGAAAGGGTAAATTCCCTTACATTCTATCTGATTCTGTCTATAAGAATGCATAGGAATGGAAGTTGAAGATCATGGCTGAGTATTTCCTTCAGCCATATCTGGTCTATGGTTTCACAAGAACCTTAATGAAAAAGGGTTAATAACAAACACCAGCCTTACATTTAAATGTGGTTCCATATGGATTGGCAATTACTATATATGCATTCTGGTTAACATAACTATTTAGTGAGCTGTGTATAGTTTTCATTCCATTATGTGGGTTTTTGTATAATTCCATTTATATGAAATGTTCAGAAGAGGCAAATCCATAGAGACAGAGAGCAGATTAGTGGCTGTCATGAGCTGGCGGGTAGGGGTGAGGACTGACTGTGCAGTGTGTACGGGGTATCTTTGGGGGTTAAAAAGTCCTGAAACTAGATAGTAGTGGTGGTTGCACAACCTAGTGGATGTACTTAACGCTACCAAATTGTACACTTTAAAATGGTTGAAATGGTAAATTTTAAGTTATATGTATTTTACCAAAATGAAAAATATTAGATTAAGCATCTTTAAAACTCTTGGTAGCTAAACAATTTTTTTTTTAATTCCAGAGAGAAAGAGAGAGAGAGAGAGAGAGATCAGTTGCCTCCCATACATGCTTAGAACGGGGACCAAACCTGAAACCCAGGCATGTGTCCTGATCCAGAATCAAACCCATTACCCTTCAGTTTATGGAACAACACTCTGACCAACTGAGCCACACTGGCCAGGGCACTAAACATCTTAATCCAATGGCTAAAATTCCTGTATTCATTAAAAAATAAAATAAAGCAAAAATATGGCAGTTCCTTAAAAAATAGCAAAACAATGCCTTTGAGAGGTACTTCCATATCAAAGAAAGGGCAGTTTATGGTATGATCCAAAGGTAATGCATAAAGTATTCAGCTAAAAATGGATTTAAGGAATGCTTATTTTTATGTGAGTTAACACCAGAGTTTACATCAAAACAAAAAGAGACTCTGGGCAAAAACCACTGAGTCTATTTAGAGGCAAAAATTTGAAGTTGCAAATTGTCAGATAAGGCAAAATTAATTTTGTGAAAGCATGAAAATCTGGCAGAACAGTAAGGTTATGTAGAAAAATAAGTGGAAAGGGGATTAAGGTAGAGGTGCCAAAAATAGAAAAGTGCAGAGAATTGGTGAAGACAGGATCGAGTTAATGAGGAAAAATTTTTAAAAAGGCCGAGGCACCAAAAGAATTTCATCAGTTATCTTTAATTTTTTTCAAGGACAAATAAAACAGAATGCTGGAAACTTTTAGCAGTGAAAGTTGAACAGTGGAAGAACCCAGCACTTTTTGTCAAAGGTTATAAAAGGTTATAAAAGGTTTCAGTGAGAAAGCTGCAGAAAAGGGGAATAACATGATCAAGATGGTGAGGAGAAATCCTTCTATAAGTCTATCATCCAAAGAGGGAAGAAACATAATTAATAATTCTTCCAGGACAATAGGATTAAACCAAGACCATTCCAGGCAAACCAGGGAGCAGTCACCTTACTAGAAGGCAAATTCAAAGTGGATTTTAAGGATTACTTAAAATAGTGGTTCTCTACTTTATTAGACCAAATGGTCACTTTTTATAACAGATATTTAGCAATGTCCCCTGGGCCATCCTGAATTGAAGTTTGCCATTAACCACTCACATATATAACTTCAGAAAGAAAGTAAATGTAAAGCCCTACCTAAAATAAAGGATAAATAAAAGGAAAGTAAATTATAATAATATGTATTTCAATAAGTAAATGTTCAAGAATGACTATTTCAAGATGCAAATGCTCATGCACATTAGAAGACATAAGGAAATTGTCCAGGTATTTTAACTGACTGATATGCATATTTGGATTTCAAAGTGAATGATCAAAACATGTACTGTACAAGTGGTACAGGAAAATGAGAGAGCACAGCTATACAGGCAGACACCTAAAAAAATAAAAAGAATAAAAAGTAGTGTTAGCGATGTTATCCATCAATTATATCTCGATACAGAGAGAAAAAAGACAAGACAAATTGTATAATAAAAAGGAAAGTACTGTTAAGATAAATAACAGAGCAGACATTATATAAAAAAGAAAGACTGAAATAAACTTAAAAGAGGATGACTTAGCAAGACAAGTTATAAACCACTGAAGTAGAGAAAATTTTAAAAAAAAGACTGTAAGTGCAGTGTCAAAACAATTTTCTGTTTTGTGACATGGGACCTTTGAGACCCCATCTATACTAAAACACTGATTCAGTCCCTATCATAAGTAGGGCATTGACCAGAGCTTCAGTGGGTACACTGATGTGCAGAATGAAAGCTAGAATGAAATCTGATCCGTAAGAGAGAGGCAAAGTGCTTCAAAGCTGGGAGAGGGGACGCCTTGTGGCTGGGCCTGTTGAAGGTTGTGAGTTTTCAACTGCAGATCACTGGAGAACAGGAAGAGAGGGAGTAATCAAAGCCTATCTGATTTTTTTAAAAAGGTATTTTAAACAGCGATGTGGAGATTAGAGTAGGGTATGAGAAGAATTGAGGAGAACAGCTGTGAATTTGCTCAACAGGACAAAGGATGATGGCAGCCTGGACCAGGATGGTGGCAGTGGGGACAAATGAGAACTGCATAGCAGGGTTTGGCATGTGACTGGGGAAGGGCAGGGAGCACTTGAGGATGATGGGGGTGGCCTGGCTGTGCTCCTTCCTAAGGAGATATGGGTTGCCACTTGTCAAGGTTTCAGCTGTGTCTCCCTGGTGTGACCAGTCCTAGCTGTAAATGTTAATGAGTTCCTAACAGGGGCTGTCTGTCACTGTATAAACAGGGCCTCATCCTATTCAAACTATTCATTCTACAGTGTCTACTCCAGCAGGGAGCTTTGGAGTTCACTGTTGCAGTCTACTCTTGCTGGAACGTACACATGTCCATTAGTCTCATGCTGCGATGCTCAATAACAAGCATGTCCATTCATACACACCAAACGGTCATTCCAGGGTGCTAAGCAGACATTTCAGAAATTCTGTTTTGGGTTCCAGGAAATCGATGCATTAAAGAATCAATTCTTAGGGGAGAGGGGTTGGGGAACCAGGTGAAAAAGGTGAAGGAATTAAGGAATACAAATTGGTAGTTACAAAATAGTCATCAAGTATAGAGCATATTGTCAATAATATTATAATAAGTATGCATGATGCCAGGTGGGTACTGGCAATATTGGGGAGAACACTTTGTAGAGTATATAATTGCCTAACCACTATGCTGTACACTTGAAACTAATACAAAATAATATTGAATAGAAGCCATAAATGAAAAATAAAATAAAAAAAGAATCAATTCTTCCTCAGGGGGGTTGAAATTAAATATCCACCACTAAGAAGACAAACTATTTTCTGGTCATTCATGGATAAGGCAATCATATATCCCCTCCAATGAGTTCAAAGGAATAGTGATACCAAGTTCTGTCTTGGGGGACAGTTCAATAAACTGTGCCCAATAATCACTCCACTGTCTTAAATAATTACTCTAAGGAGAAATTTAGGTGGTCTGCACATAGAAAATAATTTCTTTTAGAGGCCAAGGTTCCGTGCATCCCCCCAGCTCACTTCCCTAGAGCCACTTTCCATTGTGATTCCCAAACACACCAAGCCAGGTGGCAGGTATTTTCTTTCGCACTTATGTTATAAAGACTGATTTTGCATCATCTTATCAGAAAGGAAAAAAAGAAAAAGTTACATGCAGTTTGAGCACCCCTCCCGCTGCAGGCCTGATGTGGTGGAGTCATCTGGCTGCCTTCTGCTGTACAGGTGTCTGCTCAGACCCTGTAATGGGCAAGTGCAGTGTATGGGAGGGTATTTTAAGCATGGTTCTGGAGAAATTCATTGTATTAATAAGAAACCCATTTTTGTTGGGGACCATGCAAAATGATGGTGTATCAAAAACACACACAAAAAACTGTGATCAAAATACCTGTAATACACTCCCAGGCATTTAGAAAAATAAAGGTAATGTTAAAAAAAATTTATGGGGCAAAAGGAACTACACAGCATGCCCCTGTGGCTGTGGCTAAGGGGAGCATTTCATCCAGAGAGCTACAAGCAGGATGGAAGTAGAAA